GAGAGGGGCGGGAAAGAGGTAAGCTTCAGAAGGGGTGGGTGGGAACCCGCGTTCTAGGGCCACTGTCTTCTCTGAGAGAACCCAGAGGGGACTTCGTGGGTAGACCTGGAGCTCCCTTCTTCCCAGGCTCAAAGAGGGGGGTCTCTGAGGGAAGCCTCTGAGTTAGGGTGGGGAGGGTTGCGAGGGACATTCTTAAACTAAGCGACGATTTGTTATTTGCCTGAAATTCTGATTTAACTGGACATTGTGTAATTTTATTGACTAAATCGGCAACTCTGGGGTGAGGGCTGTGAGAGAAGTAAAAGAATTGTCTCCAGGCTCGGGCTAATCCAGTTTGTCATCAAGCTTCCTGCCTCTCAAACTCAGCACCTGCTGATAATTCTTGCTCAAACCAATCTATGATGGCTACAAAATGTTAATGGGTACAGGGCTTCATTTGGGGTTGATAAAGATGTCCTGAAATTGATTGTGACAATAGTTTCATATGTCTGGAATTGAATTGTATACTTTTGATAAATTATCTATTGAATTGTATACTTTCAATAAATTAATTATCCATTGTGCCTTATAGCTCAATGAAGCTGATATAAAAACACTGTTCAAGGTCTTCTTGCGCTGGGTCGCGCTGCAGGTGACGGCGCCCGGAGGCTGTCGGGAAGTAGGCGGGGTGACGTGTGGTTGACGAGCTCGGCGGCGTGTTTGCTGAGATCTGTGGCCGGCGGCAGCTGGTGCGGGGGGTTGCCGAGAACGCGAGGTGGAGCGGGGCGGTGTGTGGCCGGGGCCATGACGGGCAATGCCGGGGAGTGGTGCCTCATGGAAAGCGACCCCGGGGTCTTCACCGAGCTCATTAAAGGATTCGGTTGCCGAGGAGCCCAAGTAGAAGAAATATGGAGTTTAGAGCCTGAAATTTTTGAAAAATTAAAGCCAGTTCATGGCTTAATTTTTCTTTTCAAGTGGCAGCCAGGAGAAGAACCAGCAGGCTCTGTTGTTCAGGATTCCAGACTTGACACAATATTTTTTGCAAAGCAGGTAATTAACAATGCATGTGCCACTCAAGCCATTGTAAGTGTGTTATTGAACTGTACCCATCAAGATGTTCATTTAGGAGAGACATTATCAGAGTTTAAAGAATTTTCACAAAGTTTTGATGCAGCTATGAAGGGTTTGGCACTGAGCAATTCAGATGTGATTCGACAAGTACACAACTGTTTTGCCAGACAGCAAATGTTTGAATTTGATGCAAAAACATCAGCCAAAGAAGAAGATGCTTTTCACTTTGTCAGTTATGTTCCTGTTAATGGAAGACTGTATGAATTAGATGGATTAAGAGAAGGACCAATTGATTTAGGTGCTTGCAATCAAGATGACTGGATCAGCGCAGTACGGCCAGTCATAGAAAAAAGAATACAAAAGTACAGTGAAGGTGAAATTCGATTTAACTTAATGGCTATTGTGTCTGACAGAAAAATGATTTATGAACAGAAGATAGCAGAGTTACAAAGACAACTTGCAGAGGAGGAACCTATGGATACAGATCAGGGTAGTAATATGTTAAGTGCTATTCAATCAGAAGTTGCCAAAAATCAGATGCTTATTGAAGAAGAAGTACAAAAGTTAAAAAGATACAAGATTGAAAATATCAGAAGGAAGCATAATTATCTGCCTTTTATTATGGAATTGTTAAAGACTTTAGCAGAACACCAGCAGTTAATACCTCTTGTAGAAAAGGCAAAAGAAAAACAGAATGCAAAGAAAGCTCAGGAAACCTAATGAAGAGGATGCTTTGGGATGTGTACACATTTCTGCTTCTACACTTATTTTCATGGCACCATTAAGTATAAGGAACTTTGAGCAACATCCTAATTGACTCAATGCACGTTTGGCAATAGTACCAGTCTGTCTTGTCTTTAATGCATGGATTAATAAACTTTTCCCCTACCTGCATCATGTGCATGCAGTGCATATTAAATAAAAATAATACTGAGAGTGCTTGCCCAAATTCCGTTTTTTTGACATTGGATCTGAGAACTCTTATTGGTATTCTGGATTGATAACTACAGTATGAACCTAGAAAATGCACAAATGATATTCTTTACCTGTAATGTTCTGATTAATCTTTTGATTTTTTTTAGCTTAAAATTTTTTGATTTTTAAATGTTAAATCTTAACTAAATCTTCTGTTTCTTCTTATCATTAATGGAAAAAATCAATATTTCTGTCTTTGACATGTGTTTTGAGAATCTTAAAACTAAAAATTTCCTCTTATACCACTTATTTGATTTTAATGCAGATCATTTGAAAAGAGCAAAAGTAAAATTTTTAGTGATTTTCATTGTTGCCAATAGAAAAGGTAATAAGCATTGCAATTTTATTTTAACAAACTTTCTTCAAGTGTTTGGGGTTATTTTTTAAACCATAGATTTATTGTAGGAAGATCTGAATATTATGCCTCAAAACAAAATTTCAAGTTAAGAACAAATTGTAATTCTTAAAGAGTTTTGGTATTATTACCAATTTGGCAACCTTGTCAAGTTGTTAAGGTGAGTTTTTATGGAAAATTTGAGGTTTGACAATTCAGGTTATCTGCTTTAAAAAAAAGATGACAGTGGTGATAGAGGATCCTCTGTGCCAATTTGAACAAAATTAGTATAGCTCAGTTTCCAAGAGCCATGTAATGTACAATTTGCTCACAAAGATTTTTTTTGGTGGGGGGAGTTGTTTTCATTTTTATTTTATAAAGTACTACTGAACTATATTCTTGCTTGTAATTTTCTTTTCCAAGTAAACTCTAAATGAAATTTTATAAAACTTCTTTTTATAAAGGAAATAACCCACTTTTTTCTTTACCAAGCACATTTTTGAAATTGATATGTGAGTTTTTAACATTTTATTATTTATTGTAAAATAAATTTAACATAATTTATTTTATTAGGTGGAATGTGTACCTATCATCCAGCTTCAACACATGAATTTTTTATGATTGTTTTAAAGCTTACTAATTGTGGTATTATTAAATGACTTAGAATTAATGCAGGGGAGACCTGTGGTAAAATTGAGTAGAAAAATTAATGAAATATTTTTCATATATAATTTCAGTTGAAAGTACTAAAAATATTTAGTTTTTCAGTTATTTGTGAGTAAATATATTTTGCTCTTGATATGGTAGTAATTATGGAGTGTTTCAAAACTGTGATACAATTTTAAAAAATGGTTTTCTAAGGATGTTCTTAGGCTCATCTCAATCTCATTCATTTATTTCAATTTAATTTCTATATTTTCTTTTATTGAGGCTTAAATTTTGTAAAGCAATGCCAGGATTATTGTAAAAAGTAGTATCAGTAATCAGATAAATCAATGGAATAAAAGACAGGACCTAAAAACATTAATTTTTATCTGATCACTTGATTTTTACAAAGGTGTCAAATAATCAAACAGGAAAGGAGAGTCTTCAACAAATGTAGGTAGGATAGTAGAGCTGAATATCCACTGAGGAAAAAAGGAATCAAGAGTTCCCTATCTCACAAAAAATTATTTGAGTTGAATCATAGATGTTTTTGTAATAGCTAAAAAATATAAGTCTTTTTTTCCCAGAAAACATTGGTGCATATCTTTATGACTTGAGAGTAGCCAAAGGTTTCTCGGGTCATAGAACACATTAACCATAAAAGATCCAGGATTAGGTTTCATCAAAATTAAAAACTTGTCATTGAAAGACACCTTTAGCAAGAGTAGCTTGCATAGAATGACATCTTTAAAAGAGCTTTATAAATTTAGGTTATAGGTATAAGGATTTCTTAAAAATTTAATTTCTTATAAAAGTCCATGATAGGATTTCCATAGTTTAGGAATGGTTTATCTGCTGCTTCTTTAATGATTGCAAATGCATTGTGATACTTCATGTTTTTTTTTTTCTGCTTGTGAATAAAGAAGTATGACTTGTCCTTGTCTTGGTCCTATATATCGCTGGTTTGAAACTAAATCTGGAAGCTAATGAGTAGAGAAAGTGGAGGAATAAAGAGCAATCCAGAAAAAGAAAAAAAAAATAAATAAAAACACTGTTCAAGGTTTGGCCAGCCGATGGACCTTTGAGCTAGCCCTTAAGTCTGACATGCCTCAATCCATATTTTGAGCACTTCCTTACTTGTTCAGTTCAAGACATTTCAGAATTATCTCATACCCTTTCCTGCTCTAGCTTAGGAATTGCCATACTCCTAGGAATCCTGGGCTCATTTTGTGGGAAATGTGAAACCAAGACCTGGGCATTTATTATTTTATTTAATCATCATGTCTTCCCTATTAAGTAAGTATTAACATATCTTCATTTTATAAGTGAAATTAAGTGTATTGCCAAAGTCACGCAGCAACCCAGCCTTTGAAAGCAGGTGGTGTGAATCCAAAGCCCTTTCTCCAGTGTGAGCCTGGTTATTTGAACAACCATGTCACTCTGACTTGCTTTAAGTTACCACATTGGAGTGGAAACAAAAGGGTCGAACCTTCAACCAGCCCACCCCACATAAGGCAGAGTATGTGTCTAAGGGTGAGGGGTGGGGGAGGAACTCACCATCCAGTGTCCTAACTCTTTTCTTTTTATGGACCTAATATCTTTATTTTTTAATGTGCTGCTGAGAATTGAACCCAGTGCCTCACACATGCAAGGCAAGCGCTCTATCACTGAGCCACCACCCCAGCCCCAGTGTCCTACCTAACTCTTATTCTGAAAGGACATGCTCAAATAGACATGCACAAATGCCAGTGAAGCATAGTTTTCATCAATCTCCCTCCTAGCCGCAGGACCCAAATGTGGTTGGTACCTGAGTGTCTAGTACAGAACGACCTACAAAGGAAATCAGATTGGCCTTGGTTTTTAACTATCAAAGCTGAGAAAAGGGTACATGGAGGATTATTAGAGTCTCTTTTTGTAAATCTTTAAATTAAAATATATTTATAAAACAATAGATGAAAGGAAAGAGACTGGGAATAGTGAGCAAGGAAATTTATTCTCTCCAGATTCTCCAGGTTCTAAAGTGAAAACCGGCAAGAAGTCTGTGAGACAAGACCTGTAGGCCCTACTGGACACCCTTTCCCCTCTGAGGATGACCAGGGTGCTGCACATCACTGTGGCCTGCTGCCTCCTTGTCATAAATCAGGCCACTCGCATGCATCGCTGTGAGTTGGCCAGGGTGCTGTACAAGAATGAATTGGATGGATATGAGGGTTACTCCTTGAATGACTGTAAGTGCCATGCTTTTTAGCCATCTTTCTTTCTCTCCCATTCTTCTTTTCAAAGCCAGGAAGCTTTTCCCAGCATTTCACATTCCTGCAAAAATTATTAATTGAACACTTATTATATATCAAGAACTGTTTCAGAGTCTAGGGATACAAACAAATCCACTTCCCTACACACACACACACACACACACACAGTATTACATCTGGTAGCGATAAATGCATGAAGAAGAATAAAGTAGTAGGGTGTGTGACAGGTGACACTGACTGTTCTGGATGGAGAACTTAAGGAAAGACTCTCTGAGGAAGTGACATTGAGCAGTGCTTAATGAAATGGAAAATCTGATCAACCAAATGCCAGAGGAAGAAAATTCCAGACACAGGAAATGGCTGGTGCAAAGGTTTCATGTCTCTGTGTGGCAGGGACATCTCCCTTTTGGTCTGGAATTTGTGCAACTGTCTTGCAACACTTTCTCTTTTTTACATTGCTTTGTGGTTTTTAAGGTACATATTATCATTCTTATACTAAAATTTCCTTGAAAGCAACATCTATAGTTGACCCAGTTAATTTCCCTTGTTAGGCTTTGCATATTTCCTGACACACAGTAGATATTTAAGAAATCAGAAAGCATGGGTGGATGGTAGGGTAATGAATGGCTGGTTATATTGATTGGTGGCTGGAGGGACCAAAGAATAAGATGAGATGCCCATGATCATTTCCAGCCCTCCAGTTCCATCTAGCCTCCCAGATCTTGTTCCTTTCCTCTGAATCCTTGTCCTCCTTTCTATGCCATCTCTCTCCTACTCAGCTAGGTCCTCCCTAAATCCTGATTCTCTTCTCCCCATCCTAAGGGATTTGCCTGGCTTTTGTGGAAAGCAAGTTCAACGTCTCAAAGATAAATGAAAATGCAGATGGCAGCACTGACTATGGCATCTTCCAGATCAACAGCCACTACTGGTGCAACAATTATCAGAGTCACTCAGAAAACTATTGCCACGTGGACTGTGAAGGTTTGGCCTGGGTCCCAGGGTGGGAGGGACGAGAGAGGAGACCAGGCTGTACTCACAGGACTTCTCTTCCTACCCACAGCCTGGGCACGTCCTTAGAGAGTTCTAAGAGTCAGGGAATCCCTTTACTGAGCAGAGGCTTGGTTTACTGGCCCTGTTACCCATCCAGTCAAAGGATTCTACAGATCCTGAAGCGCCAAAGTTGGTTGTACTTTACATGCTTACCTCATTCTATCCAAATTTCCATGCCAGTTTTCCATTCAAAACTGTTTGTGATTTCCACTTTACAAATGAGGAAGCTGAGGACCAAAGGGAGAACTGAACCTGAGGTGATGGGATGCTTATTATCCCATCGACTTGTGAAGCTGAGGCAGGAGGATGGCTTGAGCTCAGGAGTTTGAGGCCAGCCTGGGGTGACATAGTGAGACATCATCTCTGAAAGAAGAATGGCATTGAATGCAACTTGTGGCTTGAAGGCTCAAGTCTAACCCTTCAGTAGTATGCAGGGATACCAGTCTGACCAAAGGCCAAGTGTAAACTCCTCACCTCAGAGGTGATCCAGGAGACGTGACAAGGCCCAGGACTCTGCCCCTTACCTCCTCATTACTCTAATATTTCTGGAATCTTCACCTAAAGAAATATTAGGTTCTAAGAAATAAGAGTTTCCCTCATTAGGCAGGATTTTACCTTGATTCTGGGCTGCCTCTTTTGGTATTTCTTTTCCCTGGAAACCCTGAAAACTTTGGGGGAACCACCATCTACCCTGACTAGGAAGAATGGTAGTGGACAGGCCCAAATAGTGTCCCTCCTGCTTCTCCTGCCCACAGCACCAGCTACGCCCAATCTCTAGTAGTCATTATAAGAGCGTCTAAAAGAACCCTGGAAGGGAGTTCTAATGTGGATGAGTTCAAGCCCAGGTGGCAGATCCTGTGCAAGGAAGGCCAGAATCTGCCTCCGTCTTTATGATTGTCCTCTGTACTCTTAACAAATGTTCTCTTTCCCCCTGATAGATCTGCTGGAACCGGACCTTATCTCGAGCATCAACTGTGCAAAAAAGATTATATCTGGACAAAGGGGGATGAGGAACTGGTGAGGAGAGAATAATGGGCAGGACCCCAAGGAGGAGGAGTGGCAGAGAAAGAGGCCATGGGAGAGGCTCCTGGGGGCACTTTCTTGTAGAAGTCTAGAAAAATGTGGGATAGTGATCTGGCTTGGAAATCTGAGAAGACTTGGGTTTGGTCCATTCTCTGATATTATACTAAACAAAACTATTTTGATTGCAGTAACAGAAAACAACTTGAGCTAGCTGAGGGAAATTTATTCTGACAGGAGAAGGTGTCTCACTGAGCCCACTGAAAGGGTGCAAGCTAGACCTCAGAAAGAGAATGCAAATAGGACTGGAAACTGCCAGAAGCTTTCCATGGCAGGTTTCTGTGTCTGTTGGTGCGTTCACTTCACTAATCTCTATGTAGACCTGCTTCCTCTGCCCCCATCCACAAGCCTATCAAAGTTCCAAGTTTATGAGCTGAAGTCATAAGCAATTAGAAGGAGTGGCTAGACTCAGTCCTAGTCCAAGTTCTATGACAGAGAATCTGATTGGTTCAGTTTGGACCATGGATGTTCTTCCTTGGTCCAATCAGCTATAGGCATAGGAAGATTTAAGCAATACAAACATAGCTGCCAACAGGTAGGAGCTGCTCAGTTGGGTAGACATCCTCAAAGCTTCCAGCTCCTCAATGGTAGACGTTCACTAACCTTTTCTGTGCTTCACACTGGACATGCAAATGGTTGCCCCTGCAAGGTTTCTGAGTTCCTTACAGACTCAAACACCTTAGAAAATGAGACATTGATGAGTATCCAGGCTGATCCTTTCTGAGAGTCAAAGGTTGCACGTGGGATTTTCTTTTCTTTTTTCCTTCCTTTTCAAGTAATCCTTAGTCTTGTAAAACAGTACTGTCCATTTTTGGAGGGAGATAAGGATTTGAAAATATAGAAGCATTCTGAATGAGGAAAGAGGGAAAGGACAAGAGAGGAGGGAAATTCAAAGGAAGAATTAAAGAAGCCTGGAAAACAAGCTAGAGAGCAAGTAATGAAGGGAATTCTTGCTGTTGCTCTGCAGGGAGACTCACCAGGAACTGGGACAGGTGAATGGAGAAGCTGCTGCTAAGTGGGAAGCAGGACCTATGTATTTTTTTTCTCCACAGGTTAGAATGGAGGTTGCACTGTGCAGGCCGGCCTCTCTCCCACTGGATGACAGGATGCCACCTGAGATGAGACAGGGTGCAGGCACTCTGTGGAGTCATTCCAAAATTCCTGTCCTTATTCGGGGATTCTTCACTTCTTCCTCTTTTCTCCACTTTATTTTCTTCCCTTCCCACTCACAAATAAAATGAAGAAACCCAGGGATAAATGATTTTCTTAGACTTCCTCCGTGCATCCACCCAGGCCCAGTATCCTTGCTCCTGACTTTGATTTGCAAACCAAAAGGACGACTTCTAGGGTTTTTAAAATGTACTAAGGTTTTCCCTGGGCAAGAAATATGTTAGTTTATTTATATTCACACACACACATTTGGGTTCTTACTACAGTAGGAGTGTACCAGATTCTGGAAGAAGGAAGACATAACTATTGTCCTTCGGGTGTTCATAATTGAGGCAGAGAAGCAGAAATATCCACAAACTTACAATGGACAATGAAGTGGGTAATAAAATCTACAATTATTGGTTTAAAAGAGTACCAAGATTTGTGTAATTCCCCCAAGACAACTATTTTTGAAGTAAAAGAGGAAGCTTAGAGGTAGGTAATGGGTGGGCTAAGGCTGTGGTATTTGAGGTGGAAAAAGTAGTGGTGGAACACAGAAATAGTGCCAGCTACCAATGATTTTTGGTTGCTTTGGTAGAATGAGTTAGAATCTAGATGATTAAAGAAAAAAGTTTTTCTGGATAGGATCCAATTTGCTTGGAGGGGGCTGACATGGAGTAGAGCCTATTTAAGGACAAGGCAAAGACACAGAAGAATGTCCTGCACATAGGCACCATCAGTAGTGTCGGATCAAACTGGAGTGTTATATGGGGTCCTAAAGCCTCTACCTCTGATCCCTAACTGCATCAGATATAAGACAAAAGAGTTGATTATTCAATGGTTTCCAGACCAGAAAAATGTTAAAAAAAAAAACCCTAAAATAAAGGTTTTCAACTTTTAATGTTAATGCTTAAGTATTAAAATAACTATCTTCTCTATTTCAGCATCTCTTCCTTAAATATTTTTAACATCAAAATTGTAGGGAGGTCATACATGTAGGAAAATGAAATATACTTTATTACAAAATTTCAGAATGACATGTTTTCCTTTTCTGATTTTACTGAGGATATGTGAAAACATCATAGACCAGCACAGATCTGAGTAGTGTTATTTAGAAACCAAAGGAGACCTGTTTTATATAGAGTCTTATCTGGTAGCATAACTGCAGCCAAGATATCTTCCCTTTCCCTATCTCCACTTTATGAATACTGTTCTTATTCCCAAGAAATAGAAACTTCACCCAAGATAAAACCTACCAGCATGGAGACATGCTGGTCTCTCCCTGATCTCTCATTGAGAGATAGGAGACAACTTACTGGCCCTTGAGATGGGGACATACTGGTTTCCCTGTTCTCTCCTTGAGAAGATAAAGGGACATGCTGGTTTTCCTGTCACCCCTCTGATAGGAAAACTGCCTGTCTCTGTTCCCAAGAAATAAATTTGCCTTCCATAAGATAAGGGGATGCTTAGTATGTCAGTCAAAACTAAACCCTCCCCTAATGTGCAGCCATGATTCTAGCCTATAAAAGGTGAGATTCAAAGGGTGCTTGCTGTTCTCCCTTGCTTGCTGCTGCTGTCCCTCTCTCTAGGCTCCTGACAACAAACTCGCTTCTTATCCCAGGTGTGTGTGAGATTAGTCCTGTGCCACTTTTCTTTTACTATCCAGCTCTGACATTGTAGGATTAAAAAGTGCTTTAGGAGCCAAGCATGGTGGCACACGCTTGTAATCCCAGTGGCTCAGGAGGCTGAGGCAGGAGGATTGTAAATTCAAAGCCAGCCTCAGCAAAAGCAAGGCGCTAAGCAATTCAGTAAGACCCTGTCTCTAAATAAAATACAAAATAGGACTGGGGATGTAGGTCAGAAAGCTCCTGAAGCTATTAGGATTTGAATTAAAATGCCTTTCTAGGATTTTTTACTTTTCTTTTTTTCCACTTGCTAGGCAAGTGCTCTACCACTGA